TTTCCCCAAAGTATACTTTATTCACAGGGAGCAGCAGAGCAAGAAATATTTATTTTATCTTTCACTAGAAAGTTTTATACCAAATGTCTGCTCCATCAGGGCTAGTGCAGTTTGGGAGACATGCATGAGAAGGTGTGGTGTGAGGTGGAAGCCAGGTTCTGTTCCAGCTCTGCCACAAGGTGATGTGTGGGGCTGGAATCAGTCCATTGATTTCTGTAACTCTGCTCCCACAGCGGTGTAGGCTTCTCACACTTTAAAAATGGTCTTCATGGTGCTTTCATACAGCACTATTTCCTGAATTGGCTCTTGTTATTCTCCCAATTATTTGTGTCTGAGCTCTAAGGTACTTCCTATACCTAATTTTACAGCTGTCTGGAGATGTAATGATTCATCTTTTCTACAGACAGCAGCAAGAGATACTGGAGCACACATCTAAGGTCACATGAGAAGATTGTGGCAGTAGATCTTGTGTATAACTCAGCCACAAACCACTGCACCATCCTTCTAGATATTTCTGATAGTTTTTGAGTTCACTGACACATTTGACCAAGTATCTATAATGGTTAGGAAAACATTTTTTTGCTTTTCATGGCAAGCAGGATGAAACCTTTAATTCAGTTGTGAATCCTGTTACCATCATCTGGCTCTTATTTGTTTGAGATCAAACTACTGGAAAATGCTCTACATGGGGCTAATTTTAAAAAATTATTCTAATCAAAGTAAGGTATACTTGCACTAAAAGTTAATAATAGAGAGTTGAATCTGTGCAATGGAATGAATTTAAGGTTTATTTGCGTATGACAAAATGGAAAGAAACAAAATAAAGTATTTATATGTATATATACAATACATTGCTGAAATTAACAGGCACCCATTGCTCTAAAACCATAACATGAAAGAAGTGTCATAAATGCTGATCTATTTTGTCTCTTACTCAGCAAAATATCTGGTTTATTCCATATTCCTTCTTAGTTTTGAATGAATGGTGATGTTTTGAGGGATGGAGGTGGGAGATGGGAGGGGAAATTATAATACTTGATTTTTCCAAATTGATGGAAATCAAGGAAACTGGAAAGAAACTCTCTCTCGTAGTGTTGTTAAGTTTCATTCTGTGGGTTTACTTGTATGAAAAATTACCTGAAGACAATACAAACAAATTTTGTTTTCTGAAAATAGTTCACATTCTTATACTCAAATTCAGAGATGATGCGTAAGACCTCCAAAGTATGGTGTAGTAATAAAATGAAAGAATTGTTCAAAGAGTTGGAAAATATTTTTTTGTCTCGAGTAAAAGAAAGTGTTCTCTTGAGAACTGAAGTATTTTCTCTTGAGTAAAGAAAGCTGTTTTCGAAAGAGTAATAGTCATATTACTGATACTGAAGAAAATGTCCTTCTGCCAGCCACACCATTATCTCAGTGGGGCTTTGCACTAGAAAAATGTCATTAGCTACAACACCAGGCATCACAAGAACTAGACGTGCCATGTTTTGGAGGACAAGAATTTAATACTAGTGATGTCCTTGTTGCACAGAGGAAATGGCAGTATCTGAACTTGATGATATTTTCAACATTGGAAATTACAGAAGTCATGATGAGCTGTAATTCATCTCAGAGTAAGAGGGGATATTTTGGCATTGAATTTTCACCAGAAAAGACAAAAAAGCACATATGGAACATGAAAAAAAAAAACAACAAAAAAAACCCAAACAAACAAAACAAAACAACTAGCCCAAAATATTGGGAGTGTGAGATTAAAAACATCTGAGGAAAGCACCTGGGGTGTTGGCTAATGCAGTACCAAGGTGGCAGTGAACTCAGCTCTACCCTTCACTCCTATCACGAAGGTGCTGCTCTGCTCTACATGGGACTGTTGCTTGAAGCATCTTAGTTTTGCTCAGTGAATTTGGTACTAGTCTCAGCTGCAAGGTAGCCCATTTTTTATTCTTTCCTTATATCCCAAAAGAGGAACTTCCCCAGTTTGTGAATCTGCAGTGGTGTATGTTTGAGTGATCAACAGAAACTGAGTTGTCTCACTTTAGTGAATTATCCCTTTCCAGAGAGCCACTGTGGCTTCAAGCCTTGCTCATTTTAGATGCAGGCTCAGGCATGTTTACATATTTCCTCAGTCATTTAAAATTGGCTTTATTTTCTCTTGCAACAAATGCCTTGCAATCATTGTACCTTAATTTAAATAAGGCTCACGGGACTGCTAGCTACAGAAAAAAAAATCTTTTATTTCTTAATGAAGACATGAAAATGTAACATCCCACTTTCTATTCAAATTAAACATAGAAATTACAAAAATTTAATCAATTGTTGTGGCTATGATTTTTAACCACTTATTTAGTTTACTAGTAATCCATCTTCAACTCCATGTTCTAGTGCCTCATTTAATAATTTCATTCTTATGGAAGTCCAATTTACAAATAATCTAATTAAAAATTTAAGTTGTTCTAGTCATTCAGAGCAATAAACACAGGAAAGATGGAAGTACAGAGGTATAGAAGTTATATGGACAATAAAAAATGTCCTTTTCATAGCTACAGATAAATACTTAATCTTAGTTTTACAAAAACAAAATCATTCTTCAAATTGATGTATTTCAAAACATGTCAGATTTCAGAATACAATACAGTTGAGTATTACTGAAATGTGGCTTGACTCAAATTGAGATAATTAAAGACTGTTTCAACAATATCTCACTTGTTTTGGCAACTGGACTCAGCTGAATGACTGCAAGGTAAAGAAAAAAATTCAAAATAAGCTTTATTTAAGGAACATGCTTGTAAAAAAAATTTAGTAAAATAAGCAGGAAACATGAGAAAGTTTGAAAAGAGAGGAGTGACACTGAAATCCCAGGATGATATGCTGAATTTTTGGATTATTTTGTCCTATCAAAGGAATTAATGAGTTTAAAAGGTTGTTTAGGATATTTTCAACACTGTGTTGAATCCCTACCTAAATTAAAGGTCATCTTGGACAGCTCAGTCATGCACTTGGGAGGGATGACTGGTGGGAATGGGGTTTAAGTGGATGTAATTTTATGTGGAAGGGGGTTTTGCTAAACTGACTATCTTGTTCATCAGACCAGTACTGGCCAGCAAGAACTACAGGAGAGTGCCCCACTGTAAAAACTCTCAGCAGAGACCCCAGCTGCAGGTGGCTGACAGATAATCCTGCTTTTCATCATCTGGGCAACCCTAACCCTTACAGGATTCAGCTCAAATTTTTTTTCCAGATTTTCAGTTTTCAAGCAGGTTATAAATCCTTTGCAAGGTTATGCGTTTTTATTTCAGTATCCAAATTCTACAGCTGCTTTATTCACCATCTTTGTTTCCTGTAGAGCAGAGTCTGCTGCTCTCAGCTCTGTCAGCTCTGGGCTTGATTTGTCTCCAGCAATTACCAGGAAGGTGGTTGCTATGCTGCACTAATGAAAGGAGCAACCATGCTTCCTTGAAGGCAGTATAAGCAAGCATAAACAAACAAATGCTCGGTGGTGTTAACAGTGTAAATGAGATATTATTGCAACAGAGAAAGTAAGACATTAACCCTTTTTAGAGGCTTGATAACTAGGAGCCTTACAAGTTTCTATGCAAAGCTTAGCTTGAGATGGAGAACTTTTTATGGCAAATATTTAAAATATCATGAGTTTATGGAATTTTCTCCTTCATCTTGATGTAAGTCACATTTTTGTTGTATTTGTTCTTGTTACCACATTTTTGGGTGGACGTGGCACAGGTTGCCCATAGAAGCTGTGGCTGTCCCATCCCTGGAAATGCTCCAGGCCAGGTTGGATGGGGCTTTGAGAAACTGTCCAGGGAAGAGTGTCCCTGCCCATGGCAGGGGCATTGGAACAAGACAATCTTTGAGGTCCCTTCCAACCCAAACCACTCCATGGTTCTATGATTTTCCAGTGACAGTCTGTCTCCACAATTTTGCCAGTTACTGTTTCATCAACGAAAGGCACAGATGAAGGTCCACGGCCAAAGCCAGGAACATAAGAAAGTTTTAATTTAAAAAATCCTGTTAGGTTGCACTGAACTTTGTCATCTCTGGTTCACTGAATTTATCTCTAAGTGTGATTCTTTTCTGAGAAATGACTGTAAAAACTGTATCACACATTGTTGTGTTTGTATTTCAGTGACTTTGCATCAGTTTTGTTCAGGATGTTGGAATTTTTTTTAAACTATCAGATATACCAATGAAGATTTGAAGCTCATGCTGTGCTTAAATTCATGTAACACCAGTAAAAATCACATTTCTGAGAAATGAAATCTCACTCACCCTCCCAGCAAAGCATTTCAGTGTCTAGAGCAGGCTGTGCTGTCAGATTTTCCTGAAGTGCAAGTAAATCCATTCTACTGCCAACCTAAAATGCAATCTCTCAAAACAAACTTATGCTAAAATTATGAAATAGTCTCACAATATTAGCATTATGTATTGCATTAAGGTGGAAAACTTTGGAAGGGCTGATAATACCAGCTCATGGTGGTATACCCATAATACCATCATGGGACAAGCTTCCATCACTGTAATAAAATATAGAAATTATCCTGAGGAGTGACTACTGTAAATATACCTACCATATGTTATTATGTATCTGTAGGTAGAGAGTGTTACTTACTTGAATTATTCAGTGTCCTTTCAATAGATCTCAATATTTCTGGAAAATTCTGAGCACTTTTTGCTAATGGCTGCATAATGCTAACTTTTTCTTTTTACTTGGTTAGGACAGAGAGATATTTCTTTTTGGAGAGACTGGACACTGAAGGCATTGATCCAAGATAAATTGATGAGCAAAATGAATGCATCATATTTTAAAGCAAACTTCCTCTTTTCTAGCTATTAGGTATATTTGGTGTCTTAAGAGAAAAAATTGAATACCACATGGTAAAGAGACATTAGTCGGACACACTGTAATTTCTTTTCTTACCTGATTTGTGGTTCTGACTTGGCACACTACAAACTATTTTCCTTTTCTTCTCTCCTTTATTTTGCAGTTAACTTTGACCACTTTCAAATATTGCGGGCTATTGGGAAAGGGAGTTTTGGAAAGGTAAGAATCAATTTATTTTTAGCAGTTAAATGGTTAATAGGGAATAATACCTTTGTGGTTTTCTTACTTGATTATGGTAAAAGAACATTAGTTTTGTAGCCTTTTCCTTCTTAAGGGCATCTGACCACCAGTTTGAGATGTCTATTCATTAAATTATTTATATTATGATCTATTCACTAAAATTAATTGAGCCAAAATTATAATAACTAATTATCCCAAATGGAGATTAACAAAAAAAAAAAAAAAATCTGTCCTGGAAACAAGAAACAACAAAAAGGTAGGAGCAGACTAATTCTTTAGACAGTCCAACAAAGTGATCTTGTCCTTAAATCTCTGAGCTTATATGTGTCTTTAAAATAATTGCTGTATTTTACAGGCACTTTGCATAGAATAAATCCTCTTGGGACTGTGTAAACTGGCATACAATATAATTATGATCATTGAGCAAATGTTTGTTCAAACGGATTTTTCTGAAACAGAGAAGATTAATGGTTTGTTTACACTTGACTAGACAACCTTTCTTTCCTATAACAGTGACTATAAAAAGGTTTTAAATTTGTAATACAAAGCCACATAGCCCCATATAGTACAAATGCAAAGCCACAAAGTCAGAGAAAATATATTTTTTAAAATTATTAGAAACCATTTCTTACAGGAATACATCTGAAGGTGAAATATAACTGTTACTTGATCAGATGACTGGTCAAACAACAGTTGTCTAGATCTTGATTTCAATGATTCTTGAGTATATGCCAGCTCAGTGCCGCTGAGGCACTTCTGTAACCATGCATTAAGAACACACAAAGGATTTTGCCGGTTCTTGGCCTCCATGCAGAACAATGACTTTAATTTTAGAGAGGCCAGAAATACTTCTTGCAGAACAGCATGGTCCTTCATGGCATGCTCCTTATTCAATTCAGTAGTTTTCAGTGGAAACCGTTTTTGAGGTCAATAGGAGTATATGCTGCTTGGGAAAAAGGTACTTAAAAACCCCATAAAATCAGGGCAGCAGAGATCTGTGATTGTTTATTATCACAATATCACAGAGGTGGAATACTGAATGGACTGAATGAAATACTGGAATGAACTGAATGAAAGTCCAAGAGTGCAAGTTATGTACAGGAAAAAAGATATATCCAAATCATGCTGATCCTCACAAAGGAATAGCAACTTAGATCAGAGTTCAGTATTTTTGGTTTCAAATCATCTACTTTTGAATTCGCATGGCAAATTTTTTATATACAAATAAAACTTCATTAGAATTTCTAACCCGCCCTCTTCCAACATACTTGGAATCACTAGTAACTGGAATATGCTAAACATAATTAGCTTAAAGGTCTTCCACAAACAAATGAACAAACAAACAGTTTCCTGTTATTTACCAAGACCAAAGTATAAGCAAAGTGCTACCTTCCCCTACTTGGCAAAGCAAGGTGACTGAAGCCAGAAAGGTTTCTTTTAGCGTAGTGCCCTGCACCTTGCTTGGGCATCACTGGTCCCTGCCCTGGTCTGTGCCTCTTTGGGTCTGCAGCAGACAATACCCCAGGTCTGTGCCAGTGTCTGTCTCCACATACAATACCCCAGCTAGGTCTGCATGTGCCCAGGAGTATGGGAAACTGCTCCCTGAGTGGCCACAAACATTCTGCCACAGCTTGCCAGTCACTTGGCTTGAGCAAAAGAGCTGCCAGCTTACATGGAAGCTGTGTCTGTGCTGGTCCTACACAGGCTCAGCCCTCACCTACTTTATCTGTCCCTTAACAAGGTGCAACCTGAGCTCTCACCTTTGAAGTGAGACTGTTTCCAGAAAAAAGAGCCTGGTTGTGGTTTCTCTCTTCTCTTCTCTTCTCTTCTCTTCTCTTCTCTTCTCTTCTCTTCTCTTCTCTTCTCTTCTCTTCTCTTCTCTTCTCTTCTCTTCTTTCTCTTTTCTCTCTTCTCTTCTCTTCTCCTTTCTACCCTGCTCAAAACTACTGTGGTGTATCTTTCTCTGAAAAATATGCAAATGTCTATGAGACAGCACCTGCTCTTATGGTGTCCCTAAGAAGAATTGGGTGCTGAGGCAGTGTCTGAAAGCAGGTGGCCACTTCTCAGAAAAGACTCGAGATACAAGATATTTGATACCAAATGGCCTGTGACAGCAATTAGTGGGACTGTGAATTGACAATGCCAAAGGGAAAGGCAGGGAGCTGATTTCTGGAGCCAGCTGGGGGCACAGATCAGAGGTGCTGAAGGAGCCAGCTCCAGCGGAGGAGCTGAGGTGCTGAGCATCACCTGGAGCTCTGTGCACAAGAATGAGCACAGAGGCTCTGCTGTACCAGATACCTCCTGCAGCAATTGCCTGCAGAGGCCTACGGTTGCTGTAGCAACCAGAGTAATTTAAGAAATATTGAGAGAGAGAGAGAGATGGAGATATTGTACCAAGAGCAATAAAATAAAAAAATAGAGCATGTCTTAAAACATCCTATGGCTCTCAGAAAACAGAAAAGGCCACAGAGGAGCCATAAAGGGAGCAGGCAGTTAAAGGAAAGCGTGATACTGAACATGGTGTTATACATTGCAAGATGCTAGAGCACAACAGACCTCGAGCAGTAAACACCCCACAATAGAGATTAACAGTCTTGCATCCTTTTTTGACATTTTCTGCTGCCAGGTACTTCCAGAAGGACAATAATAGGAAAAAGTTGCCAGCAATGAGGCTTCTAAATGAACAATAAAGGCAAGACTGACTCACAGAGACAGACATTTGAAATGGTGACTGATTTACCATGTTGTGCTTTTGGCTATGTTATAATAGGTCATTTTAAAATGGGCTTCTTTCTTTCCCTTGCCCATGGAAGGAAAAACAAGGTGATTTGTAAGAAGCTTGTACTCATCTGGGACAAAGAAACCTGTTACACCAAGGACTTTCATGTTGCATCTGACAACTGCAAAATAAGGATTTAAGTTCAGAGGAAAGTCATACTTTAAACATGTTCTCTGAGGATTGTGAAACTCCATTTTCATCAATACAGATTCCCCAAAGCAGGTTCACAAGAACTACACTCATATAAATCTGTAAAAAAAGTAGATATTTCTAGAAATATCATAGAAACATTCACCAGTTTCCTGAATGCCATGGAGAAGAATGGCTCAAAATCAACCATCAGGCCTTCATAAAGCATGTAGGCTTGTTTTATTTTGCTTTATTATGATGTGAAAGGGTGAGGGCTCCTTTGCGAGTGCAGAGACAGTAGAGACACATGTGATACATTAGAAGTGCTGACTCCTGCTTCATCTGGCTATTTTTTTTCAATTTTGTTATGTAGAGCTATCACTCTTCTCAAACAAAATACTGCAAAAAATTATATATTTGAAGATCATTCAATAAGTACAAAACCAATGAGGATTGAAATACAAGAATTCTCATTGTCCTTTACTGCAACAATAACCACATAATTGCAGGGTTACTGCTGCAAAATAATTTGTATTCAGGTGTAACAACTAGTTCTCAGAGACATTATAGTACAAATTTTCTCTGACTTCTCTGTTCGTGGGAGTGGTTATATTAAACAATCTGACCTCCTTAAATTAAATTCAAATTATAATTTCAATGTACAAACTCTCTCCTGTTTGTCTAAGATGCTGAGACACAAGGTTTAGTTCTGATTAATTTGGTTGTATAAAACAGTGACTTCCTGTGATGAAGTAATTGAAATTACAGTGGTATAAACCAGATGGGAGCCCAGAATCATGTCTGCACTGATTGAGGGTACTTTAGTAAATAATATGCAAAATATTTTAGAAAAAATTATGCTTCTATCCTAAAAGCAACATAACACACAACTGCAGAATATTAATACTGTTTGACAGTGTAACAACCTGGTTTTTAGCTTGAGTTAATATGAAAGAATACTAAGCAGATGCTTTGGCTGCTCCAGATGTCATGCTTTGCTCAGGGGAATCTGGGAATGAGTCTCCTTATTTAAAGGAAATCCCCTGGCAGCCTAAAGACAAACTTATGATATCCATTCTCCAGCCTCTTTGTGTAAATCTTTCCAGCTCTGCTTGTAGGTTAAGACTATGAGAACTCGTTTTTCAGAGCACATGGGTAGGACAGACAGGGGAGCAGTATTTCAGGCAGATGCTCAACAGCAGGTTCATCAATTCCCATCTGGAGTGTACCTGATTTCTGTCTTGTAGTGCTCTGTGTTGGGGTGAGTGCTTCTGCCCGTGCAGTGCCACAGCCCCTGTGCTGAGCTGGGAGTGCCCCTCATCTGCAGACATGAGATGCAAAATATCACACAGGAGCATGGGGGAGCGTGCACCCCAGCTTCCAGCTCTACACCTAACAGTGGCCTGGTCCAGAGGTTTCTCTGGCTGGGGGCTTGCATCTCTTCTCTTTTATTACCTATTGTGAAACCACATCTTGTGGCAGTCTGAGAGGTCTAAGTACTCCTGTGCTAAACTCAGATCAAAATTGAGATGAAATGCCTCTTGTTCTTTCCAGACCATGCACATAGCAGCTATGTCTCTTCTAGTGGGAAATATGAGAAATCTGTATTTTGCAGCAAGTCTGTTATTTCAGCCATCACCATCTTTTGCTCTGGGAAGAACTTTGTTGAAGCTACCTGTAGTTGCTCAGCCAACATAGCTTCGGCTTCAGCAAGCTTCTATGGTTTTGCATGTGAAATCAGAGGAAATCCAAGAAGGTAACTACCTTCTTGTGGGCCACAGAACATGTTGCTCTTGAAAAATGGAGCTTAGCACTGCAGCCATAATCTATTGGCTTCCTTCCCCAGATTCTGAGGGAAAGTGGCTCCAATTCATTCTCTGGTCAAATTTCTTCTAACCTGATAGGTTTTAAGGCAGCTCACTGTTACCTTCTACCAGAAATGACAAAAGACACCACTCTGTGATAACAACTAAGATATGTTAAAAAAAACCTCTTTCTAAAGGGAATATTTTCACAAGAGGTTTTTAAAAATAGCACTGTACCATTCCAGAGAAAATTAATGGGGTTCATAATACCTACCTTTAAATATGTACAACACATATGCCTATATTCAAACGGGTAATCTACAGTCTCTTTAGGGGACATTAGAGGGAAACATTCCAGGTACAGAGATAATCCCCTGTGCCTCTTTAGATCCATAGCTTATGTGGAGATGGCTGCTGTCCCTCTCTGCTGACTATGAAGCTGGATAGTTGTTGAGTTCAGAACACATATTTGCTCTGAATCATCACACTGTCTGGCCTTTGGTAAATGATATTCACAGAAAAATGGAAAGAGCCTGAGTGTGACAGGCTTCCATACTGATACATGTAAATAAGGTAATTCTGCACAGACTTTCATCATAATGAGTCACCACAGAATTTTATTGTTGAGATGCCAAAGCATCTGTTTATCCCTATTTTAAAATTGCTCCTTTGGAACAAAAAACCCCCCAACTTATTTCCCATTAAGACTGCACATGTGAGAAGAGCTCAAGGACCTTTCCTTTCTCGCTTGCTTTAGTGGAAAGTTTCAATCTATTGATGTCCTCAGTAATCAGAAGAGCTGACAGCCAGCAGGCAGAAGTGCCAGGGAGGATCTCCACTATGATCTAGTGCTGTCATAGCAATGTCAGGCATTTTTCACAGTAACATCAACATGAATACAGGTCATGTTTCCTGATTTTTAGTAGCAAGTAGCTTCATTATATTCATTAAAATCCTATTGATTTTGTAACCATGTTAAAAGATTTGTGTGGGTACACATTGCTAGAAAATGTTTACTATCATTCTGCTTTGAAACTGTGTGTTGGGCAAGCTTCTACCAACAACAGAAGGTCTGTTTCAGCTGTGCTGAACACCCTTGTTTTTACTGCCAGGTAAGACAACTGAGTGCCTTCTGGAGTCCCAGCAATGGTTTACATTACATATTTTGGTGCTGCATATGATCTTGGTTTGCCACATTGGACAAACCTGTAATTCTCAGCTGAGTAAAACACCATTCTCTAAGCCCTAGTCAACCCTAGTCAACCCTTCAATAGGGAGACTTTAAATGTAATGAACTAGGAGGCTTCTGCAAACACCTAACTCTTGGGTAAGTTGTACATGAAAATCATGATGCAAACTAATATACATGACTGAATTTCTGGACTTAGTTTCTGAGCTAAAATCCCTGAATGTTATACTTCATAATGCGACTCACTAAATTAGAGTCTCCACATATTCTAAGACAGGGTGTCAGGATTTGCCCTGAAAATTCTGCTTATGATTTTGAAGGACCTGTGGGAGCTTGACCAATTTAATTCTTTCCCTTCTTTTCCCATTCAGGTTCAGCTCTATCCCACTTGCTACTTTTTCTTCCTCCAAAAGGCTAAACACAATTCCTCATTGCTCCACAGCCAGGGTTCCTTCCACGTAAATGTGAACCTTTAGTTATCTTAAGGGCATCAATAATATTCAGATTTTTCATAACAGTCCAAGGTAAAAAATGAAACAAAACTTCAGTACTCACCATTGTGCAACATTGATGGGCTCAAAACAAAATGTTACTATCCATGTTTTCCTTAATAGCAGAACATCTGATATTAGGAAAGCTAAATAGAAACCCTGCTTAATCATGCCTTATCATTATAGGTTAAAGGTATCTAGGAACTCCTCTATTTGGAGTAGATTGGCACTCAAGGACACACTTTACAAAAACAGAATTTCAGAGAAATAAAAGTGGTTTGGCTTCACTGGCCTTTTTCTCCCAGTTTCAGCTGTGGGAAGTTGCCTTAGTAATCGTTCCTAAATATTGGGTTCATAAGTTCCTTAAAGTTAGACACAAAGGATTTCTCTTTGGTTGTCACCATGTTGTAATCTGATCTCTTACCATGAATTTATGAGTGCATATTATAATTTTTTGTGTGTATAATATGGGAATGTGTATGTGTGCATGAGTGTGTAGATATTTAAATATACAAATAAAAAAGTAATGCCCACATCAAGTGAATCCAGAATTCCTTTGAGCATAGACACTACAGACCTGGGATACCTACACCAGGTGTTTCCAGGACATTCAGAACAATTGTGTATTTCTCTGTTGCAAAAAATCGTACTTAACCTGATGGTTGGTGGTGGTGTTTGTGACACTCTCCAGCCACATTCTCAATGTAAAATAACATGACAAAAGACAATCCAGAATTCCCATGAGATCTCTCTTGACTACAATTTTCTTCAAACATTATTTGACTTCTGTCAAAAAAAAAAACAAAGAAAAAAAAAAAAAGGAAAAGCATAGAATTTTACTGCCAGAGACTAAAACATTCTAAGGGTCTCTTGTGAATTCAGAAATATTATAATGAATATTTGTTTGAAAATACTTTTTTTTTTCGACAATAATTAAGGGAGCATAATTCTGATATTTAGATGAAATATTAGCCTTGGGAACACAGGCAAGGTTTATGATGCAGTAATCAAGATGTGACTATTGACTGGTGGGAATGAGGACAATGACTGTGCATTTTCCTAGGCAGGAGGCAGTAATTTCTCTGACTAATTAAATAGCCTGTGATTTCAGCCATTGCAGCATATTCCTCTCAGCTTTACCACGTAACTTTTGAAAGTTCTATTTTTCTGGGTCCCCATTTCTTCTTATGCAGGGTTGGTTGCTTTTTTTGTCAATTTTTTATTACAATGTAAGAATCTATTGCAAAGAATCCTGCAGAGCTGTGAAGTAAACTTACTGAAGGTGTTACTCAGTTGTAGTACCCAGATCTCAATTATTGAAATATCATTAAAAACTCCTTTTTTCCAAAGTCACAATTGAATTCACTTTCTCAAGGTGTCAAAATTTTTCTTTTACTTTGCTGCCAATTAGGTGTGCATTGTACAGAAGAGAGACACCAAGAAAATGTATGCCATGAAGTACATGAATAAACAGAAGTGCATTGAGAGAGATGAAGTTCGCAATGTTTTCCGGGAGCTGCAGATAATGCAAGGCCTGGAACATCCCTTCTTAGTCAATCTGTGGTAAGAAAATCTTTAAAGTGCTTTCATACATCTCTCATTTTCTCCTTGTTGCTGAATCAGTTCAGAGTACGGAAGACTGGAAAGTTAAAGAACAAAAGATTTTTGGTGACCTCCTTTGTTAAAGGTATTAGGTTTCGCAGGGAGTTTTATTTTTCATTATATACTTAAGGTGTCCTTTTTACTTGGAATATTTAAACATCATATTCATCTTTGGTTTAGTTCCTCTCCAAATTGTTATAACAGTGTGTGGAAATGTGTTCTCCTGTCCCATTTATTTTCAAAAATACCTGAACTAAACCTCTCTCATAAAGCTGTGGAATATCAAAAGCAGCCATTAATATTTTTTTTATTTTTTTTTTAGTTGATTCAGAGAAAATTCAATACTCAATTATTTTCTAAAAATTACTGTCACAGGACAACAGAAAAGTGCCTTTTTGTCACCTGGAATTTCCCTTATCTTCTCCATGCTCTCAATCTTTTGGTCACACGAGTGTGAGAAAATGCTGGGCAAACTTCAACTACACCACCAGCTTCAAATATTTGCTGGGCTTTTATGTAGTGTGATAGTATTCTGGCTTTTGTACTGGTAGTAGTAATGGGATGCAGAGTTTTTCTCCTTATCTAATGACCTGTAAAATTCAAAAAATAACAAGGTGGAGGGGACATAAACCAAGGTTACAATGCACATTGATCTTGCATTTTGTGAGTTGTAGCTGTCTTACTTGAAGTCACTGCCTAACCTACAGTGTTCTGCCCATTGCTTAGCTCACTCCTGGTGCCAGGCTAGCACCTTTCACAAATTAAAAGCCGAATTGTGTTCTGTCTTGAGTGAACACAGCTTCAGTATAATTGCACTCTGTTATAATAGAAGGCATTTGAACCCAAAATTGTTTCCAAATTAGGTCCAAAAGGACCTAATTATATACATACATAAGTGCCCTTCACTTGATATAAATGATCTGAGCTAATCTAATAACCTGTTGAAGGCTTAAAGAAAAATACATCCTTGTGACTGTGATACAAAACTTCCCCAGTATATTTTCTAGGGTTCCAGCAAGCTGTAGTCTTGGGATTTCTTTACCAAAGATATGGTATATCTGTGCCTGTGGAGTTCTCTGTTATGTATTTGTCTACCTTTTTTGAAACTTTTTTCTTTGTCAAGAGGTGTGGAAGTTTCCACTGTGTAACCAGACACTGTACAGAAACAGTCATAGGTTAATGTGATCTGAGAGATAAACATAACAGTGCTGAAAGACTGAAGATCAAATATTTATTGTGAAACAGAAAGAATGCTAGATCCCCATTACTGAGTTATAATCAGATGATAAATATTCTTTCTCATTTTCTTTTTCCATGCCAAAGATTAAACTTGAAATAAGCAATACCCTAAAATGTATTAGGCATTTTGATGCCTTTTATCCTTCCTACACTTGTAAATACCATCACAGGATATCAAGACTCAAATATTATGTTACGTTTGTATGAGAAATGCAGAAAACGAAAGAGAATTGTGGTACTCTAGAGTTACAAAACATTTCAGGCATGCAGGACACTATTCAAGATGCTTCAGTGCACTAACAATGTTTTAGATTTGATGTCTCTAGCAATGGTTATAGTTGACCAATCTGTCTACAAGTATTGATCTCTTCACTCTCCTGACTGGTGACAGGAGCCAAGGCAATGCCATGGAGTTGTGTCAGGGGGGGTTTAGGTTGGATATCAGGAAAAGGTTCTTTTTCCAGAGGGTGTTTGGGCACTGAACAGGCTCCCCAGGGAAGGGGTCACAGCACCAGCCTGACAGAGCTCAAGAAGCATTTGGACACTGCTCTCAGGCACACGGTGACTCTTGGGGATGTCCTGTGCAGGGCCAGGAGCTGGAATCGATGATCCTGTTGGGTTCCTTCCAACTCAGGGTGTTCTGTGGTTCTATGATTCTGTATGAGGCTCTACTGACATTCAGGGGCTCAGATTAACAAAATTAGTATTGTAGAAATTTTTCCAAAAAATAATATCATTGACCCTTGTTATTTTCACCTGAAGTGTTCACCTCAAACACTGCACATTCAAATGTCTGGTGATTCAAAGTCTGTTGTGGTTGGGGTTCTTGTTGAGGTGAAACAGGTGAAGACACAGGAATGGCCTTTCCAGGGGTTTTACAGAGATGTTTATTTCAGCCACGCATGAGCACAGCCCCGGAGTTCAGAGACAAAGGCAAAGAGAATGGTCTGGGTCTTTGGGTTGGGTACAGGGGGGTTTTACAAGGGTGGGGTTAGGGTGTAAGGACCAACAGGGAACCAGGCTGGGAGTGACCAAAAGGCTGACAGACAGAGAGAGGGCAGGGGGCTGTCCCAAGGAACAGAACAAGGGTTGTCTTGACCTGATAGAGCAGAATTCCTTATCAAAAGGAGATAACTGAGAGGCTTCTCCTGTCTTCCTAACTGGGAGTGCCTTTCAAGGTCTCCACAAAAGTCCTGACTCCAGAATGAGCTGCTGAACTGCTGGAGAGCCTTTATTTCACCCTGGGACACCAAAAGGGTGTTTGTCACCCTGGGAAGCCTGAGCCTCCCCAAAATTAGTCTAGTCTACCCCAAATATCTCTTTCCTTGTATGAGGCTTATAATATGTTTCTATACAAAATTAGCCTTGAACAATCCTAAATTAATTTAAAATAACTTGTAATATATTTTTGGAGTGTCTACACTTGCAGGGTGCAGTAGCAATTTCCAGACCTCTGACTTCTCTGTCTCAAATTTCAGCTGAATTTCAAGATATTCTGCACATTCTCTTCAAATCATGACTTTTGTTATTGAACTGCAACAAGGGCAAAGCACAAAAATCATAAATGATCCATGAATAATGGTCATATCTGTTCTATTAACACTATGCCAGTTGAAGCTTTTAAACATATTAATTATATTTCATTTATTTAATATTTGAAACTACATTTTTATTTCTACCATGGGGAAAGGAACATTACAAGTATGAACGGAATAGTCCTTAAATATGTTGTTCCCAGAAATAATTTCTTAAAATAACATTATCATTGATTGTTGGTGAGTTAGCATTCTGTTTAATGTATTACTACTTGCAGTTCAAATGCAATAATAATTTGCATCAAATACTTTTACATTGTAATTATAACTTATTTAAGATGATTAGCAGGAATCCATGAGTTTTCCTTCTATGAGTCAATTCCTGACATGTACTAATGGAAGGAAACAGTTGAATCTGCATTTCTTCTATAGTGATGGCAGCTAGATTAGTTTCATTTTTCAGAGTTAGGTTTGGCCATTTGTTTTGTTTGTTTTGCACTGTAAATGTACAAAGAGGCTGTAACAGGAGCTACCAACCCTGTATTGTTTCAGAAACTGGAATATTAATCTAACAATGTCATGGTGTGTGGGGAATAACACAGCTTGTTTAAATGCCATAGTTCTTCTGGCCTGATCTGTCTTTCTAGGCTCTATCTCTTTGGGTTCATATCAGTTTTTAGAAATCCTGTCTAAGGTATGATTTTGGTGACTAAAATCCAGTAACTAAAATACTTTCATTTTTCCTAAAATATCATTTTCTGTAACAATAATTTCAGTGTCTTTTTTTTTTTCATGGTATTGGGATGAATTGAATGGAGTAAATTGAATTGGGATGAACTGAAATGGAATCCTATGTCTTTCAATTCAAAATGTCAAATCCTAAATCAATATTCAAGAGTATATTTGGAGGAAATTCCATCATGATACCTTTTTCATGAGTTTGTGGCACTGTCCCTGACCAGAACAACTGATTTTCAAAAGTTTATGATCTGGAGTTCTAAATAAAATTTAAATGGTAATAAGTTTTCTAACAACTCCTTGAACAAAAGGGAATAATAACTAAGTATATTAATCTTTCTTTGAAAAATTACATCACCAAAAATAAAAGCTGGCAATTTAAGAAACAAACATGAATACTGGAAAGTCCTTTAGTTTTTCATGATAAATGAGGACAGTAATGAGATGTGTGTATACAATCCATCATCAGTTAAATTCTTGTGAAGAGAAAAAGAAGAGGAAAGGAGGTAAACACTCTGTGATGGGTGGCTCTGCTGGTTCTATCAGTAACCACAGCTTGCACAAGAATATAGAGCAACTCATATAAAACAAGGGTAGCATCTCAACTCTGAAAAATCTCAATTAAAAAGCTTTTTGAGGTTCATGCATCTTCTCTGAGCTTTATTAAATTTAACTTCACAATCTCAACCTATAAATCACATTATTTGAAGTATGAACTGTCTTTCATAACATCTGACAGAGAAAGGAATCATTTTTCTGTAAATACTCATAAAAGCTTGGAGGATAACAGTGTTTTTCAGGGAGGGTTTGGGGTTGATTTATAACCTTCATTTTAGAAATGAAATTGAATAAATACTTAAAGTCACTTTTATCACCATCAGAGGCATTTCTGATAATAGAGATTCCATCTTAAAATAAAATGCAGTCCTGTTTTTTATCAGACCTTTTTTTTTGTCATGGGTATTTCAAGCACAGATGACTAGGTTGTAGAAATATCAGCTGCCAACTTGGTCCCACCTTGAGACTGTTCCTCTCTAATGTTCAGCATTTTATCCATGTTCATCCTTCCCCAGATATTTGAGTATCCCATGGGCGAGATGAGTGGTGTTCCTGAAAGCGTTTTAAATACATTTCTTACAACAAGAGTTAGGACTGGGCCAAGAGCCAGGTTATTTGCCAGGTACCAGTGCAGGTAGATTTGGTATTATGTGATTTGTCCTTGATCATGAAGAGATGTTTGAAGCATCCACTGGCTGCTCTGAAAACAACACGGCTTACACAAAAGACACAATATTTTTGCAAAAGTGAAAAAAAAAGTATTAAAGTGCTGATGTGGAACTGAAGAAAACTTGGACCATTTCTCAAGAGTTTTGAAACATTGAAGTGATCTTATTTTTAATAGCCTGGCTAAAAATTTTTAACTTGCCAGTACATTTTCTAAAGCAGCAG